ACGACCTGTAGAATCTCTTTAAACTCTATATGAGCGGGAGAAGCCAATTTGCTTATAGACAACCTATAAATGCAATGTAAGAAGTTCTTTCCAAGTTTTTATTTTGACCCTTTAAGAAAAGGTAGTATAAACTGAGAATGGACTTGACATGAAGCTCCAGTGTCAAATTTTCTACAAATGCATCAAAAAAACTATAAATGTGGTTGGGGTTGTAGTTAGAGCTGCAGATGGCATTCTATATTTAGAAGGACTGTAGATTCACTTCGATCTTTAGAAGTTAATGTAGAATGACTATGAAAATTATTATAACGGTAAAATATATATTCGTATTATAAAACAACTCTATAGGCTCGTTTTTTTTCTAAATAAAAAACCTCATACCTAATTTTATTTCAACTGTCGTAGAAGTTAGCGCCTAAAAGTATACATTCCACCTTGTGAATTCTGAATCCAGATTCATATTGCAACTCAAATATCCTATACGTTAAGATACAAAATCATATGCTTACTTTCGAATATTGCACAAATATAGGTGTGTGAAAAAATAAATCCTTCACTACGAGAAAAATCTACTCTGAGTCTCAGGGATGTTCTGGTGTGATGAATACGTTTGATTATATTTCGGAATAATTTCAATTTAAGGGGACCCCCCCCCATTCTCGGGGTCAAAATTTTTTTTGATTTAATTCGAATCTACACTAATTCAAGAATGTCCCTACAAAATTTCATGTGAAAATCTCAAGAACTCTTGAAGATATAGCAGATTTATTGTGTCAGCATCAAATGACGGCTAAAGGGCTTCTGAAACTTTAAATGCGTTTTTCTCTTTTGCGAATGGCGGGCACGATAACTCAAAAACTAATAACCCAATCGATTCCAAATGTTTACACGTTTCTCTGTGAGTGCATAGCTATCGTATGAACTAGGATAAAGCCATTCGGTGAATATCTTCGTTATTCTTTAACTTGGTTTTTGGTAAAAAATCGGCGATTTTCGAAAAATATTTTTTTAAAGGTCCGCCATTTTGTTAATTTTAGAGCGAAGTCAATACGAGAGCCAGACATGTACTCTTTCTAAAACCGCTGGAATTTTCGGATTCCGATGTTCCAGTGAGGAGTTATCATGCCCGCCATCAAAAATAAGGACTTCTGTTTAATTACAAAAAACAACAACAAAACAATTACATTTTTTTTGTAAATTATTTTTCTTCTCTTTCAAATATTCAAATATATATGTGCAAAGTTACAAACCTTAACAAGCATTGGTATTGATTTACCAGCCCATTGAAAATTTGAAAATTGAAAATCTTGAATCTTGAAAAAATAAGATCGAGAATGGGGGGTGGGGTTCCCTTAAAAAATAATTATCACCGTAACGACCTTTGCAAAGCCACATTTCCCAATAAAACTGACACCAAACGGTTCTTGATTTCCCTTTTATTGCATCATAGATCATGTAGCTCATCTCGAAATGTAAATTTTGGTTTATCGCAATGTCAAACTAAAGCCAATAGATATTAGTTGCAAAAATTTCAAATAAATCCTGATAGAGGAGGTTAAACCAGGAAAAAAGCTCGATGTTTCATTTTACATTATAATTCAAACCTCTCGCCTAAAAGTATGCACCACCCATGTATATTAAGTCGGCACCAATATTATGTCTCCTGAAAGTATGCACCATACATTGAGTATTTTAAGTATATTTTATTTAATTCGTATGCTTTTGCAAAGGAAATAAAAATTATGAAACACTAAATTTCTTACTGGCCATATAATTAAATTCAAATGAGTTGGTATCCTAAAAGTATACACCACACACCATCCCTCCCCTCAAATAAATTCCTAGATGCCAACAAAAGTTTACCCACTAATTTTTAGTTCATCATAATTTCAAACTAAAGGTAAACCTCACAAATTAAGTCCTTTCTTCCTTCGTCGACAAGACTTCGTATAACCTACTAATTAGACATAAAATTTAAAAAATCTCTATTAAATACTCTCATAATTTTAATCTTATCAACTTCCCACATCCACATCTTGAGAATTTTGTAAGAAAAATGAACACCACCATTCACAAATTATTGGGTGGTTTGACACGTTGACAAAACTTTTAAATGGCAAAGCAAATTAAATTCGAATAAATTTTTGCCACAAAAATCCACCAGGATAAAGTTTGCAATCACACGTGTGTGTGCATGTGTTTTTCTGTGTGGCGAAGATGGCAATTTGTTACCTTAACCACATTAGGAGCAGAGTTCAGAGACACTTTTTTTTGTAAAATGTCTGAGCTATATAGACAAAGTTTTCTTTCGTTAAGAAACTAAATTGTAAGACAGGTCTTGCAGACATCTCCAATGTCTGTCTATCCTTCTGTGTGTGTGTCTTCTTAAATTACCACAAAAACCAAAATCAAATTTGCCATTACAATTTACACACAGTTCAAACTGAAAAGCAGCAGGTGCTGCTGCTCCACCTTTATCTCTCGTCTTAAATGACTGACTCTTCAAAACATGAAATTAAAATTTTCAGGATATACTTTGCCTTGCTTTCTTTTGGGTTTGGTGGTCCGTCCCCTTTGCAAATCATTGAATCCACTCTGGATGGTATGCTGGGAAATTTGAATATTTCATAGAAATTAATAGGCTTAGTAAAATGTAAATCTCTTACCCTAGTGACTATTTACCAGAACATTTAACAGTTGAGCTATTTAAAAACCGGAAGAAAACTGCCTAAAGAAGGCCAACAAGCATTTGCTTAGGTATTCAATTATATTTTCCCTGCTTTACTCTAAATGTTTATAAATGAGAGTGTGTGAGTGTGAGGGTTCTCATATAGCCTCATTTCCGTTTCCCAAATTTCCATCGAGATATCAAAATATATTTTTGCCCGTCTTGCATATTTCTCCCCTCGCCTCCCAAAGCACTTAGCCAACAATTTAGCTGCTTCCTCCTGTCTTGCTCTTATTTCCTTATTACTAACTGAGGGGTGGGGGAGGCAATGGAAATTTGTAAAAGAAAAATCATTTAAACTGAAGCTTTAGCAATTTTCTAGGTGTTTTAGATAATTTTCATCAAATTTAATTTGTATAGATAAAAATGAGGGTAGTTCATTTTTATCTATACATTTATCTTAGAGGGGGGAAATGTTGGGTATGTATGAGGTGTTCTGTGCTTTTGGCACAATTCCAATTTTATTTGGGCAAGAAGAAAAGAAGTGAAAAATCTTGTTTGAAATAATAATGAAAATAAACGAAAAATTAAACTAAACGAAAACAACAACAATTCAATTTGATTTAATTTCATCCATTTAATGCCTAAATGTATGCTATAATTTTGTTCAGAAATTAAATTTTATTTTGGGGAAATAATGATAATAGAAAGAATGAATGTGTGAGAGAAAATTAAACTTGAGTTTTAGATTTCAATTAGTTGAAATGCTTTATTCATAATTCATTTTCGAACACTGTCTAAATGTTGTTTTATGCAAACTATAGTGTATTTGAAAGTCACCATTAAGATGAAGATACCCACCACACCTAAATATAAAATTGCTTATTGATATTCAATAAAATAATATTGGTTTAGTAAAAATAATCTGGTTTTTTTAATTTTGTGTATTTCAAATTCACCACTAAAAGAAAGCAACTCACCACACCTAGATTTGTACTGAAATTCATTTACGAACATTATCTAAATGTTTTTACGGCAAAATATCGTGTATTTGAAATTCACCACTAAGATCATGAAACTCACCACACCTTGATTTTTGGTGGATTTCATTTAGAATTGTTTTCTAAAGAAATTGAGACACGTTAACAACAACAATTAGTTGAAATGCTTTATTCAAAATTCATTTTCGAACACTGTCGAAATGTTTGTTTTTCAATTGTGTGTATTTCAAATTCACCACCAAGACAAAGTAACTCACCACACATAGATTTGTACTGAAATGCATTTACGAACATTATCTAAATGTTTTTTACGGCTAAATATCGTGTATTTGGAATTCACCACTAAGATCATAAAACTCACCACACCTTGATTTTTAGTGGATTTCATTTAGAATTGGTTTCTGAAGAAATTGAAATACGTTACTTAAATTTTATGAAATTCCTTGTTCGGTTTTCCTTAGCAATATTCTTGAAAATCACTAAAAATAATTTATAAGTGAAAGAATCTTATAGCAACGATGGCCCTAAAGAAGATAAATTTATCTTCTATATAAAATTATTATATTGTGTAAAGCTTAATTATTTATGTACCAAACACATATTTCATTGCCTACCATTAGGCTAGTAATTGAAAAATAATATAAATAAATAATGCATACTTTTGGGAAGTTATTTGCAAATACTTCTATTTGATAATTGTTTTTATCTAATAAAACAGTTTAATTTGTACATTTTCAACATTTTCATTGCCTACATGTAGGCTAACAATTAAATACTATAATGTAAATAAATACTGCATACTTTTAGAAAGACATTTTATATATTTTTTATATTTTTCATTTTATTTCTATTTTTGAAATTTTGATAACATTACAAAGCACCCACAAGCAGCTTTGCTTCTAATAAACAATTTCCAATGCATGACTTAGTTAACAATATCACTCTTAGCTCTTTTTTCAATACACCTATTATTGTTTTGGCAAATTTTCACACAATTTTGCTTTGAAAACTTACTACGTTTTTTCTTTTCTATAAAAAACCAGTAAACATTTTTTTATTCAAATTTCTTAGGCTTTTTCTCAAGCACCAATTTTTTAAAATAATAACAAAAAGACAATAACAAGTTACGTCAAAAGAATTCGAACTTTTTTTTAAAACTTTGTATGATACACATGCAGCTTTTTTCCTAATGTTCTGCAACAAAAGTGTTATTTAGATTTTTTTAAATAAAAAAACAATACTTAAAAATACAACAACAACTACTAACATCAAAATACAACAACAAATTCAAAACCCCACAACAAATATTTCTAAATAATTTCCACCAAAAAATTTCTTAGAGCTCCCGTGTGTTTGTGTGTCTGCGCCCAATGGCTCTCAGCTCGTTATGATGGAGACATTTCTTGTCCTGGGTCTGTGTTTTATTCTATATGAAGCATTGGATTTCTTTCAAGGATGCATTCATAGTGCCACACCCAATACAAGCGATCAAATTGATGCCTATCGTCGTCAGCTTGACGAACAACGTCAGAAACAACAAGAAGAACAATTTTTGGCGAATTTAACGCCACTGCTGAGTGCCCAATTGGCTGCGGCAGGTTTTAATCTATCCACCTTGACAACACCGACAGCATCAACGGCCAGTGTTATCAGTGATCTGAAAGCTCAAGTGGTGCAGCGTGATAACGAAAATCAACATTCGGTTAGTACACCGGCTTTGCATTCTGGTGGTATTGGTTTAAGTGGTGGTGGCGGAGACGACAGCGTTGGTTTTCGTCCGGCCAATCTAAGTGTTTACGAAACCCAAGAATTGCATGCCACCTCGTCATTGCCCCGAGACTATTATTACTTGCAACAACAACAATTGAAGAATAAAAACTCCTCTAAATCTCTACTGTCGAAATTCTCATCAGGTTCGGATAATCGTATCTTTCCCGAATCTGCTAGTATTTTGGGTAATCCTGCTGGGGTCATTACCACCCAACCTTTACTGCAGCAGCAACAACAACAGCAGCATCACCAGCAACAACAACAAGCACCACCACAACTTAGTACATTTGATTGTCCCACACCCATAATAACCCAACAACCACCAGCTATCGGTTGTATACTTGCCCAGGACCTAAAAAGAGCTTTACTACAAACCAACAACGACTTGGAACAAACGAATTCACCACCCTCACATCATCACAGTTCTCAACTCTCTCTCAATTCCACCCATCAAATCTCATCTTCTGAGGAAGACGAAGAGGACGACGACGACGAAGAGGGTGCATCCGATTCATCTTCGACACAGGGCGAGGCATCTCTGCAGTCGTGTCCCTATACCTCAGATCACGACGACATCAACGAAGATCGCACATTCACCGTGGGCTCGTGCAGTTCGTCGCATGCTGATTTCCGGGAAATTGAATGTGAACGCCTGCGACGTCAATGTGTGAGCGTTAAACGCATCTATAGCATATCGGAGAAATTTTAGAAAAACTAACCAAAAACAAAAAATCATCTCAAAAAAGCAAAAATTCTAAAACAAAACTTTTTTAGAAAAACTCGAAAAAATTTAAGAACACACAAAATCAAAAAACAAAAAATTGGTTTTATACAATTTGCTGAATACAAAGGTATTGAGAAAATCAATGAAAAATAGTGACTAAAATTTCTAACCAAAAATAAAACAAAAATTGAAATCAACCCTCGAAAATAAATTTCAAGAAAAAGCACACAAAAAATGTTTTTATCCTTTCAAACAACAGCATTAATTTAATGCCGATCAATTCAACTCACAAGTGCACTAAAAATCTCCACCACACCACCACCTTTCAATTTCATTCATTTCAAAAAATAAAAAGTTTTTTACTGTGTCAAATCGCACGCATAATCAAGCATATCACGCATAACGATAATATATTCGTAAGTAAAAGAAAAACACCAACAAACATTTTTCCAGGATTCCTAAGAAATGGTGTTATAAAAATGAAATAATCACCTCAAACCACCCACCTATTCACCCACCAACCATTACCACCACCTGTTAATTGTCATGTTTTATTGAAATGTTGCTGCCATGGCAAATCATTTTCACTCGACCTCATCACTTTAGATTTTAATGTCTCTCTCTCGAGTCGTTACAAAAGATGTTATTATCACGCCCATAAACATGCCTTTTAGCCATCAAATTTTACGTACCACTTCATGTTACTGTCACTGTTTTGCCATTTTTCATTTCCGAAAAACCAAAAATCACTCACTTTATTATCAATCGTTTCAAGTAGTTTAGTATAAAAAAATAATTTGTTATGGCTTACAAAAATATGCTATAAAATAAGTTTTATATTTAAACGATTACCATATGCACTTTTTGTAAGTGTATCTCGGCAAAAATATTCGCTGTTATATGGAAATAATTGGGTGTTTTATTACTCAATACAGCTAATTTAAATATGAAATAATATTCAGCAATATATAGAAAAAACAATTATTAGCAAATTTATTAATAACGAAATTTATCATTACTACGAATAACTCACCATACTGCATTACAATCAAAATCGATTTCTGGACATTTATATCTATATTTTACTACTCATTTGCTGTAGGACGACTAAAACCATACTCTACTCTATTTGGTAGAAGTATTGTGAAAAACCTGAATTATTTTCGGAATTCATTCATTTTTAGTCATGATTACACCTAGAAAACGCATATGCCACAAATTCTCACCAATCATGTCTACAATAATGACAGGGGTCTTATAAGAAAACCTTAATGTATGATTAAGGACGCCCACACCTCCCACCTACTATCTATCTATCCTATCTCAATTCCAAATATCTGGATTCCAGCTCTACGGATTCATCTAACTCAAAATTGTATCAAATTTATTACAAGGCTTTATAATAATCTTATTATCCAATTTCAGGATTCCAGCTCTATCGGTTCACTCTAAATCCAAATTGTACCAAATTTAGTGCCATTTAGCACACACATTCAAAATTCCCTACATACCTCAATCCACCACCCCAAAAGGGATACTAACTCCAAATATAGGATTCTAGCTCTATCGTCTCACCTAAAATTCATATTGTACCAAAATAAGTACGAATTTATAAAACTACACACATAATTCTACAATGCAGTTACAATCTGATTTCCAAATTTCAGTGTTCTAGCTCAACCAGTTTATTTAGAACATGTTAGTAGAAATTTCCAAAACTTCCTACGTACCCCAATCCTACACCCTAACATCCAAATGACCCTGCACCGGTTCGCCAAATACAAATGGTACCACATTTAGTACTTTTTGTGCCGTTCTAGTACGAATTTCCAAAAACCCATCCGTATGTGTCACATTTGGACCAAGAGTGACCCTCACCCAACATTTTAAGATTCTAACTTCAACCGTTTCGTCTGGGCGTTGATGAATCGTTAAGTCAGCCAATCAGTCAGTCAATCATTTTACTCTTTTATTATTATAGATTACAACCAACACTAGCCCTTATGAAATCAAGCTACGACAGGAGCGATTCTTCAATATGTATTTTTTTTTGACGTATTTCCCATTCTTAGAAACTTATTCCAACGAATCCAACAGTTCCATGTAATAATAAATTTTTTTAAATACATACATATAGGGCTTTAATGGCAAGAAACGGGTAATATTGAGAATATATTAAAACGTTAAAATATCGATTTCGAGTTTTTGAAGACCCCACCTAAAATCTTATGGACAACATTTTTGGTAGAATATTGCGAGGATAAAAAATCCCATTTTGTGATAATTGAACGTTTCAATATATTAAAGTTAAAAAGGACACACAAGGAGTTGAGTTAGAAGGGCGAAATGTTCTACCAAAAATTTCCCCATTCGATTTTACTGCAGAAATTTAATCTCAAAATATACACTCGAAAGCTACAAATAAAGACACGAAACTACCTCTTCAAGCATAATAGGGTCACCAGCAAAAAAATAGAAAAAAAATGATTACGCCATTTTCTGAACTTTGGCATATGGCAAAATTGTCCTTCTGGGGGTTTCACATACTCGCCGAGGTCGTTCATCCCCAATAGTAGTTTTCAACTCCAATGGTCTACCTCGATTTTGTCGCACAGTGTGATACAAAATAGACTATTTCATTTTTTTAATTTTTTGTTGAAGGTAATAATCCTACTTCATACCATAGTCAGAGATGTAAATTTTCGAATGTCGTCGAAATTTTTGGATTCGGATGTTCCAGTTGTCGGAAAACTTGTCCGCTGTCGAAAAAACGATAACAGCACAATTATTTCAATTTATCTTTTTGTCCTTTAAGTCTTCGAATATTTAGATGCAGTGTTGCAAGTCTTCAATATAATACAATATAAAAACATGAAATCTACATTCGATTTGGCTGAAGACTTCTGAAAACACTGTATTAGCTCCAACCAAAGATATAATACGGTTACCAGTAAAAATTAATCACGACATAACCTTAAAACTTGGTATATGACAAATTTCCCTTCTGCATTCATAATGTACTCCTCAAAATGTCAATAAGATTTTTTTCACCACTGACACCATGAGCTCTATTAATAGAAAAACAATAAATAAGAAAAATAATGCTTATGCTTTGATGAGTATAACAAATTTTGATAACTACATATACATCTGAGGAGGCTGGGAGATTTTTTGGGGTTTCAAATTTAGTGTAAAAAATTGAAGTATATAAATGAGTATACGTTTTCCGCTTTGATTGGCTTCAAAGGCAGATGCACTGCTGTAACACATTAATAATGTATATTACATTTCAAAAATACTATCAAACTCTATTTGAAAAAAATCACCACGTTTTAAATTTTACCACATCTATTTTTCCATTCCATTTTCCTTATATTTTATTTCGATATATTGTTACATATATTCATTAAATTATAGACTCACCACTATGTGTTTTTTCATTCAATTTCATTCAGCGAAAATATTTTGTCACATGAAATTGTTTTATTACTATTTTCATATTCACCACATCTTATTTTTAAGGTCTATTCATTAAAACTTCATGTCACTACATACTAAATATTTTATATAATTTTTTTAACTCTTCATACTATGTATTTTTTCGATGTTTTTTTACGCATTTCATCAAATTTATATCAACAATTATTAATTTTTATTCATTCACTATTCACTAAGTTTTAATAATCACCACAAAATTTAAACATTTATTTAAATACATTTTTTTAATTTTTTGTTTTTTTTTTTACTTAGAATTGATTTTTGAATACGATTCCGCAGTTTTTGATAAACTTTATTTATTGTTATATGTTTTTTCGTTACACTTTTATTCATACATAATTATTTTTATTCACTTCAGTTTTGCATATTCCTTGAAAAATTAAACATTAAAAAAAAATCATAATCCTCATCCTCTAGGTTTTATCATAGGATCTATGTTTTTTACATATTTTTCAGCAGTTCAAAACATACCACTTCACTTTTGAAAAAAAAACGTCGTTAGGTTGAAGCAAATTTTATGCTAAAAAAAACTCTGTTTAAAAAACAGAGAATTCAAATTTAAGAATTCAAATCTACTTCATTCGGAAGATGCGACTGAAAGGTTCAGATATGAAAAATGGGGGTGGGGGGTACTATTATATAGTGGCTATATAAATATTTTCTGCCGAGATGTTTCCTTCTTCAAGAACCTCGAATGACAAATTATTGTCACTTTGGTGAAAATACGCCTAAAACATTAAAAATGAAAATAGACGATACCGAAATATATTTTTATTATGTTCGAATATTTCAGGGAGTATTACAACAAATTTAAAATACACTTCATCTTATGGTGGAGGTTATAAAATTAATTTATTTGTGGGCGTAAGGTAGGTTATAACGATTGTTTCCAATAGCTTCAGATGTAGTTTTAATATTATACTGATTTGAATTGCAAAATATCGAATACTAGTTTGTACAACATTTCAAAGAAGAACATACAACAATGTATTTGTATTTCAAAATGAGGTTTAATTTCCAAGAAATTTTTATAAATATACATATACATAGCATAAAAGAAAGTTCTCATATGTATTCTCCCTATACATATTTAGTGAATATGAAATTTCAAAGAACAGAACAATTCCATTCATCATTGTTCGTATGCAATGAAAGAGAATAACTCCATTTGTAAGATGTGTTCCAGTTTTACAATCTCGTATTCTGGTGTTCCCATTCTATTGTTGTTTACTGAAACAATACCTGCACCCAACAAGAACTATTTGTTTTAATACGTGTATGAAAAAAATCAAAATACTAAACATCATATCAGAACTTTGAAACAAATGGATACTTTTTCTTTTTATCAGTTCTAATAATGAATTAAAAATGTTTAGAATAATAATATTAGTATTGAGGTTATTTTGTTTTCTGTTTTGTTGTCTAATACATATTTGATAGAAAGGCTTTTAAAATCAAGTATATCTTCAAAATTTAATTGGTTGACAAGCTAGCTAAACAA